AAAATTCGAAAATGTAATTTTTCTCTATCTATAAAGACTAAATATGTTTTAGATCTATGGACTTATCTATCATATCCATAAAGCAATTGAAATTTCTTCTTATATAATGATTATTTATTTTTTTATAATTTTTGGAAATGAACAACAAATAATTATTAATTATATTTTCACATAGAAGTTGTGTCAATGCATGTTTTATGGTTGGACAAGAGAGTTGGGTTTTTCCCATACCATAAAATATTAAAACTTAAGAATTATAATTTATAAATTAGTTAGGCATAGAATTTTTAATGAAATTATAATTAACTACAATATATTTCTTCATAAAACTATTAAAATATATTAATTTAATGTATATACACCTCATTGAGGTCTTATATTTAGTGTTGTTGATGTATTTTTATGATTTATTAAAGTATTTATAGTGTTTCCAAGTGTATCTATGTGTATCTAGTTTTTCTCCGATGTGTATGTGTATCCAAGACATATCCTAATACGTCTCTTAAAATTGCCTTTCCGATACACTTGGAATTTTCAATACTTTGAACTTTGCTTAGACATAAACCGGTTTAGGGTGGCTATCTGACCCATTAGCCTTTGTACTTCTTTTATTGTTCTAGGAGGTCTCATATCTAGGATGGCGTGGATTTTATCTAGGTTGGCTTCGATGCCATGTTGGTTCACTATGTACCCGAGGAGATTGAAAACACACTTGTTCGGGTTGAATTTCATGTTGTATTTTCTTATAATGTCAAAAACACAATTAAGATCATAAACTAAAGAGTTTGAAAACCGGGTTTTCACAACCATATCATCAACATAAGCCTCAATTTTATTTTCAATTAAATTAGAAAAAATTTTGTTTACAAGGCACTACTAAGCCGCTCCAGCATTTTTTAAATCAAATGGCATAACTTTATAACAATACAAGCCCATTTCGGTTCCAAAGACAGTTTTTTCTTCATCGGCTAGAACCATCTAGATTTTGTTGTAGCCAAAGTATGCATCCATGAAACTCAACAGCTCAAATCCCGAGGTCATGTCTACCATGCGGTCAATCCTAGGGAGTGGGAAGCTATCCTTTGGGTAGGCTCATTTGAAGTCGGTGTAGTCGAGACACATGCGCCACTTGCCATTGGCTTTCTTCATGAACATTGGGTTGGCAATCCAGCTCAGGTATTGGACCAATCTAACAAAGTCTTTTGCAAGGAGATTTCCGACCTCCTCATCTACTATCCTCCACCGCTCTTGGGCAATGTTCCTCTTCCTTTGTCGGACTAGTTTGACTAAAGGGTCAACATTTAGCCTATGAGTTATGACAAAAGGGTCTATGCTAGGCATTTCCGTTGCCGACCAAGCAAAAACATCTATACTTTTAATTAAAAAACTTCCCAACTCAGAGCACAGTGGTTCCGTGAGGCGAGCTCTAATCTGCATCGTCTTCTCGGGGTTAGTATCCAAGATTGGCACTAGGACGATGTCCTCCACGGGGCAATCTCTCTCGTCATTGTTCCCCAAAGGTGGCTCCAAGTCGATGTCGACGGCCTGCTTTCCCTTCCCCTTCAATGCGGCCATATAGCACTTGTGAGACTCAAGCTGATAAGCTCGCACAACTCCTACTCCATAATATGTCAGAAACTTCTCGCTAAATCCGATTAGGGGGACGTCGGTCGGTTGTAGGTCTTTCATCTCGAGCTCCATCTGCTCGAAAGCCTCCAAGAAGATGATATCGGCCGAGCTTCCAGAGTCAACCAGAATCCACTTTACCTCGAATTCATTTATGACTAACTTGACTACAAGGGCAGTGTCATGTGGTCTTGGGGAGGCTAGTCTCTGTTCTGGTCCCTACTCGACTATGACACTTCTCTTGGTTGGTCGACTGCTTCAAATAACCTCGACGGGTCAGCTCCTTAATCTCATCCTTGAGGTTACGACAATTCTTAGTGTCGTGGCTGATGTCCCGATGGAAGTGGCAATATTTGTTAGGGTTCCTATTGGTAGGGTCCTCTCTCATCCGAGGTGGCCATCTAACGTACTCAGTTGTCTTGATCTGCATCGGAATCTCTCCCCTCTTCACATTTAGCGTGGTGTAGTTACGGTTCTAGATGGGAGGGGTGCGAGAACACTGACTTTAGGACCTGCTGCTTCTATATAGAGACTTGCTTCTTCTCCGCGGTGACCTATTGCGACAGTTGCGAGGGGACCTATTGTGCCTTGGTGACTTGCTCTTCCGATGCTGTTTGTTGCTCCCCAGCTCGTCTTCTAACCTCTTCCACTTGCCGCTCAACTCCAACCGGGATTTGAGCACTTCTTTGGCCTTCATAAACTTGGCCGCTTGGTTGAGGAACTCCTCCACAAAGGCCAGAGGGTTCAATTCAACCTCCTAGTGCAAGTCGAGATGTTAGACACCGTTGACTGCTATAGTGAGTTGGATAGCTGGGTCGAAGTTGGGAATAAGTCGCTCCATGTTGAATTGTTTGATGTAGTCCTAGAGTTTCTCGTCTAGTCGCTGAACGGCATTCAACGAACAGGTCACCGCCTTCGGGCACTGCTTGCTTTTCGCGAAGTGTGTAGTAAACAGGTTGGCGAACTAGTTCCAACTTTTGATGGAGCCCGCAACCAGCCCCGAAAGGTGGTTGGGAAGGCCTTGCAAAGGCTCACGTCGTTTGCCCCGTGTAGTTGCACCAGGGTATGGAAGTTGTCGAGGTGGCCAATCGGGTCATAGCAGACTACCCAATAGTCACAAAGGGGACATCAGGGTGCACAATGGGTTGATCCTACCCCCTATGACCGAGTTGTTGTTGTTAACAAGGTTGTTGACAGGAATGTGGTTGGAAGATGCCATTGAAGATATACTTGGAAAGGAAGTATGAGAGTATGGCTTTTGCGTAGAGTTTCCTACGGATGGCACCAATTGATGGTGTGCGATCTGGAATCTCCCTGCTAGAGGACAACTCGGACACCAGACTATGTAGGTCGCTTTGTCGAGTTATAAAGAAAGAGAGATGATCAGAGTACCTGGGCTACTTTACCCGGTGTGGGCACTCCGATGCTTAAGTCAGCGAACTGGAGTTTTTTGAGAGCTAGAAAGCAAGAGAGAGCTAGAGAGCTTGAGTGCTAAATCGTGCATACCTTATGAGGTTGGAGGTGAGGCTTTTATATAGGCAAGCTGCCATAAGACTCACGAAACGCGTCTAGGATCTCCGGCCCGTCTGGTTTGAATGTGGTTTCACTCCTGGAAATGGACTCAATGTAAGCAGGTAATGTCTATCCAATCCCGCCAGAAGTGAGCAGGGCAATAACCAGCTCTTCTTACGTGGCGTCATGATCTCGAGGAATACAGAGGTGATATCCCGCTTAAGGGGGAGGTTGCTCGGCACGTCAGGCATGTCGCTAACCGAAAATAGGTTAAATCGGTGGAAGCAAATCACCTCTTACGCCAACCTGAGGTTTTGCCTAGTTATTCGTAGTTCGGCCACTAGGGTGGTTGTATGGGGTCTTCTTATGTGGTGGTGAGATATTATTCTATTATTCTGCAATACCACGTATTGTGATATCAAACACAACTTCTTACGTTTTTGTATGGGACTTTGGGTATGGAGTGGGTTGTGTTAATTGAGCTAGAGTGGTTGAGCACTAGTGTTCTATTCAAAAAAAACTTCATATTTGAATCCAAAAAAAACTTCATATTTGACTAGGAATGGCAACGGGGCAGGGCGGGGACGGGGAGCCTCTCCCCATCCCCCTCCCTGAAAAAATCCTCATCCCAACGGGGATCCTCATCTCCCATGATTTTTTATAATGTTAACCATTTTATTTTTTTATTTTATTTTAAAAAAATAAAAATAAAATAATTAAAATTTGCAATCCTATTAAAAAAGATTCAAACATATTCAACCATATTTTTAAAATATTAATATATAGATGTATGTGTGCATATATACATATATAACATATGCTTACATATATACATATATATTAGTGGGGATCCCATGGGGCAGGGATCGGGGTCCCCACAAGACGGGGAGTGCTCTCCCTGTCCTCGCTAATGGGGATGAAAATCTCCCCATCTCTGTATCCACGGGAGAAAATTATCCCCATCCCCGCTCCATTCGAAACGGATCCCCACATAAATTAGGGAAATGGAGAAAATTGCCATCCCTATTTTTTATGTGCACGTGGGGTGCCCTCCCAAACGGGCTATAATTTTTTATCGGATTTTTAGATATGGAGTTATGGACAGTCGAATTGGTGGAGCCTACTTTTGATCGATGGGTTTGGTGGCCGACGAGTTCAAATCGTCTACGGTTTTAATAGTTTATACTGAGCGAATCATAATGTACTGCGTCAGTATATTGGTCCTCCTTAATATATTGTCGGTCGCCAATCAAGTGTATGTTCCAAATCATTTGATACGATTCCTATCAAAATTAAAAACATTTTATAAGGGTGGTCCAACGTCAAAAGTGGGACCCTTTGATCAACGTCTACAAACTTACCTGCATTTGTCTAAATGTGAGAGCATAAAAAGTATGGACCGTAGGATCATTTAGACCGTCAATCTCGCGACTCTCCCAGTTCTAAAGATAAATGACTCCCTAATGAATGATCTTATACCATTGGATGCGTGGACCTTCTTCGGAATGTTGACCTTGTTAGGGTGGGCCCAATGATCGAGCCTTTTTCCTAAAGTGATCAAAGGCCGTCCACCGGAAGTCTTAGGGAAATTTCCAATGTTTATCGTGCCAAAAAAACAGAGGTTTCGTTGTTTTAACTGACTGTTTTACCCTCGTTTCCTTCTGTAAATAGGAAATCGATTTAGGCCAGGCAAACCTTTAAAAATAAGGGTATTATAGTAATTTAAGCATAGGAAGCCGACTCATGATTTTGTTCCTCTTCTTGTTTTCATTTTTGAAAAATATTTGAAAACGAAACAAACAGCGCATTCCAGCGCATTCCCCCTATAAATACCCCCATCTATCTCATCTCTGACTTCCCTTCTTTCTCATAAAATTTCTCGTCTCTCTCTCTCCTTCTCAGATTCTCTCTTCGGGAGAAGGAGCCCTAAGGATCTTTTCTCTCTCTCCCTTCTGTTAGGACCGACTCGAAGAATATCTTTAGAGATTAAGTACTCTGTAGTCAATCGAACCAGTGGAAGCGGCCGTGTGAGAAGAACACCGATCTAATTCTCTAATCTGATCTTTGAAGGCTCTGGTAAACCCTCTAGCAGAACGCTTTAGTCGGCTTTTATGGCTTTAAATCCAGTGGATTCTGGTGGTTCTATACTTTCCGTGGGTGGTTATACCTTCGTATTTTCTTTTTCTAGGTCTGGGGTTGGGGGGATGGTTGGCTTCTTTCCTGCGCCGGTTAGGGTTTTGTGTCTGATGATTGTGATTTGTAAAGAAGGAAAGAAATTTGAATCTTCTCGTTGTCTGTGATTTTATCTTGTTTCGAGATGTGAAAAAGGGACAGTCTTGTTATACTAATGTCCTCCAGCCTCTTGGATTTGTGGAGTCATAGAAAGGCTGGAGCTAATAGGACATCTTTTACTAATATCTTCTATCTTCTTATTGTTCTAGGTTGAATGGTTAACTGAATTGTAGATTTATTCCTTCTCTTTTGTGAATTAGGTGATGATTTTTTCTTGTATTCCTATTTCTTACCCTAAACCTCAATTGTTATGGATCTTTCTGTGTGTATGTGTAATTGTGTGGATAATATCGATATTACATGTTATTGTTGGCGTTGGGATCCCAGATTCTCAGGATCCCTAGTTGCTTGTTTACCTGATTGTTCCTTTGCATTCAACTCTAGAATAGATAAACTAATTTGCGTGTCGGTATGATGTTACAGAACTTAAAAGATTTGGTGTTGCTGCTTCAAGAGGGTTAGTCTACATAGTAAGCATCTGGTGGTATATCCTATAGTAGCAGAATGCCGAAAGAGAGAAGAGGTCGTTCTGTGTCTGTTGACAGGTCCAGGGCATCTCCTTATCCTTGCAGCAGTTCTAGTCGTGCCAGGCGGTCTTCATCCAGAAACCCTTTAGAGCCTGTAGAAAATGTAAAAGAATGGGAAGATGCCAAGAGGTCTTCATCCAAGCAACCTTTGGTAACCCTGGAGGATGTGAAAGAATGGGAAGAAGCTAGATGCCCTGTCTGCATGGAACACCCTCACAACGCAGTACTTCTTTTATGTTCCTCCCATGACAAGGGCTGCCGCCCCTACATGTGTGACACAAGCTATCGCCACTCAAACTGTCTTGACCAGTTCCGCAGAGCATTTGCAGAGACCCCATCAGTGGTGCCACCGGAAAATGAGGCTCCTCAGTTGAGCGGAGCCTCTCAGTCGTTGACGTCGGAAATTGCTGCAATGGATGGTCAAAATGAAGTGAATGAGGAAGAGGATCCTGAAGAGCAAAACCTGTTCTGTGAGGGGCAGTTGGAGACAAAGCTCCTGTGCCCTCTCTGTCGTGGGAAAGTAAATGGCTGGGTTGTTGTTGAGGCTGCTCGCCAGTTCATGAATGTAAAAGCTAGGAGCTGCTCCTGTGAGACATGTGATTTTTTTGGGACTTACGCAGACCTCAGGAAGCATGCGAGACTCGAACACCCCCTTGTGCGGCCTACAGAGGTGGACCCTGAGCGGCAGCGCAATTGGAGGCGGCTAGAACAGGAAAGAGACCTTGGCGATGTGGTTAGCACGATTCAGTCAGCTTTTGGGGATGAGATGGGAAATGAATATGTTATTCCGTTCAGTGGAAGATTGATTGTCTTTCTATTGTACCGAGTCCAAAATGATCCCAGTGCAAGTCGCAGCCCGTCTGCTGCCTCGAGAATTCGATGGCAGTCTGGTGCCTCGAGAATTCGAGCACAGCCAAGGAGCAGAAGGCAAATGACTCTATGGGGGGAGAGCTACGATAGCGATAATGTTTCTGCACCTAGAGAAGGTGACAACGAGACACTAGAAAGTATGCCAATTTTGTGGCAACAGCGAGAGAGGAGTCGACGACGACGAACAACACCAGATAACGAGCCATGACAATGAATGCCCAAAACTGATCTTCCTGCATTGTTCGTGGGCTGGTTTGGGGTCATAAACTCTAGTCTAAAAGGTGAGTTGACTTTCTCACTCAGCTCTCATTTGGTGGTTTCTCATCTGATGTTAGCAGTTCTCAGGGTTTTGTGTTGTTGCATTCCAGGTGGAGAAGCGAAGAGAAAGATGGCAACTGGCAAGCCTTTTCTCTTCGAGTAGGGAATTCATTCGGCTGAGTGCTGAACTGTTCTTGCATCTTGCATTCTCACTCTCGCTTGAAGGGATTTAGGAGTGGAGTATACATAAAAAAAAAGAAACAGAAGAAACCAAATGGGGAAGAAGAACGTCCGTGGTTTGAGTTTTCTTTGTCACCATTTTTTTCCTTTAAATTTTTGGTAGATACTTGTCACCATTAATTATACTTTATTTGATCTACCATACTCTTTATTGGTGATGTTGCCAATATCCGAATGCTCTATTTACCTTTAAACTGTTTATGTCTGCACTCTGTACAATAAAATACGAAGTGGCATTGGAAATTAATTGTTGAGACTTGAGAGGGTGGACTGGGTTGTAGATACAGACTAATAAAAGTCTACCTGTTGTGGTAGTGTCACCTTAGGAAGGATGTCGGTTGACTCGGTTCTCAGTTGGTCTGCTGGGGCTTTGGGTTACTACTGCAGTTTCTCTAACATGACTGGTGGTGCTAGGAGCCAGTTTCTCCAACATGAGTGAGGATGCCAACTCCTTTACGGGGATGGAGGTCTTCATTATTATACTAGCGGGCCCCGTGAGATGTCCGGGAAAAAGATGCCAACTCCTTTATTGGGTTTAAAATTTAGGGATAAGTGGATTGCAATCATGGCAATTTTACCCGTTTTCATCCGAGTATATGGCTTCCTCAGAAGGGATGGGATGGAGACTTCCTTAGGTTCCGTTTGGTTTGTGCGATGGGATGAGAAATATTTCAAAAATATTCCCTTTATTCACATTTGTTTTGATTAGAAGAGGGGGATGGGATGAGAAAAAAGTGGGATGTGAGATCTTAAAATCGTGGATTTGGGGTTGCACCAAAATAGTGTGACCCCGGTGGAAAAACTAAGAAACCACTGTTATACAGAAGTAGAGCAACGGCAGCGGCACCCTCTCTTAGTCACTCCCTTCCTCTCTCCTCTCTTCTTCTTTCGTGTTTTGTTAAACATTGTTCATCGTCTTCCCCGTTCTTCCCCTTTCTTTTACATCTTTGCTTTCTACCAACAAACTACTATTTGTCTTCCTCTTGGTGAAACAGAGCACCCCATGGTAGCTATTCATCTTCGATCATCTTCTGTTACATAGAAAGTGTGAAGAAGGGGGGATCATTGCACAATGGTCGATTAAGCAGTGGCGGAGAAGGGGGGGACTATCGGTGTTGAAGGACATCTTTGAAGCTTTAGTCACGGAGTTCTCTGTCTCCCCCTCCATCTTCCTCTTCCCTTTTCTCCCTTACCTTCTTCTCTCTTCTCCCTTGCAATAGTGTTTTCCCATTATTTTCCTATATATAAAACAAAACAATGGAAAGGTAAATTTTTACACTTTCCCATCTTTTCTCATCCCCACCCAAATCTTCTCACAAACCAAACATAGCCTAGTGTTGATAGGGTGGGATGGATGGGATTAATAAGAATATTCGATTGGGGATCGGGACAGGGAGGGGAACTGTAGTCTAGACATTGCCTTGACCTCGATTATATATATTAAATATATAATATTATTTATATTATATATATCCAAATACATTTAAAATATTATTTGTATATTAATTTTTTTATTTTAATAAATACTATTTTAAAAACAAACTTTTAATTAAAAAATTTAGGGATTCAAGACCCATCTATATTGGGGATCAGAGATGTAGGTTAAATTTTTTCTTTGATGTGGATTAGGGTCAAAGATGGGAATTAATTTAAAACACGGGATTGGAACAAGGAGTATGGTCCTTGCTTTGAACCCATGCATTGCCATTCCTACTCGGGGTTATCCTCCAAACCCATAAACATAGTTTCAATAATTATGGTAATTATAAATGTAGTATCAAATACTTGTGGAAATTATTAAAATTTTTTAATTATTTATTTGAATAATTGGAAGTTTATGATTTAATTTTCACTAAATTAAATTACTAAAATCAGTAATTTTTAGTAATTAAATTACTAAAATTATAGTAAATGTAAAAAATTATTGAAAATATAAAAAATTATTGAAAATATAAAAAATAGATTTATATTTATTGAAATTAATTTTCCACTAAAAAATAAATTACTAAAAAATTTTAATTAATATCTGATAATATCATTAAATATTCATAAATTGACCAAATTACTGAAAATATCAATAACTACTTATTACTAAAAAGTTATTGATAATATCAAAATTATTGAAAATGTTAAAAATAAATTCATATTTATTGAAATAAACTTTTCAATGAAAAATTACCAATAAGTTTTAATTAATAAATTTGTATTTATTAATGTTTTAATTAATTATCAATTTTCAGTAATTAGTGGTTTCAATAATTAATTTTCAAAATTTTCTGAAATTAAATTACCAAAATCAATAATTTTCAACATGTAATTTTTAGTAATCAAAATTTTCAATTTACCAAAATTATGAAAAATTATAGTTTATGTGTTGATATTTACTGTAATATTTAATAATATCAATAATTATTGAAATTATAAAAAATATTTCACAAATTAATTTAACCACGTTTTTTTTTTGTTTCTAGTTGGTTATTGGGCACGTAATATAGATTAAGAGTTGTTTTAGGATGAGTTCTAGGTGGGAGAGAGAGAGTTTAGGAGAAATTTTAGGAGGGGGTTGGCTAAGTGTTTTAGAACATGAGAGTGAGAGAGAGAGAGAGGGAGAGTAGAGAGTTGGAGTGGGACTACATGGGAAGGTTAGGTTTTAGACAAGTTCTTCATTTGTGTGGATTGGGGGAGATTATAGGAAAAGATGAGAGAGAGAGAGAGAGAGAGAGAAAAATCATAGGAAAAGATTTCCTAAGTTAATGGTTTTTTTTCCTAAAATAATGTTAGTGGATTTTCTTCCTAAATTAATGGGGCAAACAAGGGGAGATTGCCATTAGTGGCAACTCCATGGGCTTGTAGAGGGAACCTTGCACTCCCTCTAAAATTGCTCGGTTTGGGTAATGGGGCAAAAAAGGCCATCTAATATGTCAAGGTCTACTTTAGTATGATAACAAGGAATGTAGAATATCTTTATTAATCATATTCCTAGCCACCGTGGTAGAAGATCTTGTAAATGGTGTCCCTCTATTTTTTTTTTTTTTTGTTCTAGAGTGGTTACTTGGATTAAGTTTTGATTATATCCCGAAAATATATGATATCAGAAAAACTTGTAATCAATTAATTGTTATCATAAATTTGGTGTTTATCAAAATTCACAAGAGGTTTTGATTGGTCAAAGCTCTTTTGGGTATTATGTCCTTCCAACAGCATATATTATTACCTGTCTCCTTCTCTAAACAAGTTAAAACAAGAAGTATGTGTTGGGTATAACTTCCGTTTGTTCACGAAAAAAGTAATAATGAAACTATTTATTGCCAATTAGGCATCATTAGGCACTACATCAGCATAACAGTGAATAAATGCCTAACTATTGGGAGAAGTTTCATTTATCACCCACGATAGGTGTGCACTTAAATCAATGCTAGCTTTTGCAAGTTTCTATGCATACGGATCAACATGATAGGCTAAATGTAGGGGTGTAAACGAAGTGAATTTGAATCGAATCAAGATTGATTCGAATTCGAAGCCGATTAAATATATAGATATTCGAATTCGATTCAATATCCAATGGTTTTTTGAAACAATACACCATATTTGAATTCGTCAAGATAATCAAATATTCGATTTCGATTTGAATTCGGAAAAAAAAAATCTCTCCAACTTCACCAGAGGAGGAAGAAGAAACTTGAATCGAAGATTATTCTCGTTCTCTATCCATCCAACTTTCAAGAAACAAATTAAAAAAAAAAATGAACCATAACCATCTATTTAGTGTTGCTACACTGATATGCCCTACAACAAGCATCGTCGGTGGTGTAATCTACAACAAAAGTCAAAAAAAAAACTTAAATACACAAAATAAAAGTAAAAAAATGAATGCTATCAATTAAAGTTCCAAAGGACTTGCCGAAGAGAAATGTTGAGACGATGCGAAGAGGATGAAAAATATTAAAGTATTTTTAATGAAACCTGCACCTTTTGATAAAAAATATTAAAATATTTAATACAAATACAATTGCATCACTAACACTAACATCTATTCGAATTCCATTCGATAAGTTAATCATAAAGAAGTGTTATTTGAATTCGACCATTATTAATATTTGAATAATCCAAATTCGAATTTTGATTTTTGAATATCATTTACACCCTTAGTTAAATGTTAAAGTGGTGTTTATGTGACAATGTTTATTGAAAAAACATTCATGTTCCAAACACTGTTTAAATTTCATTTATCAATAAAAATTAAGGAAAATTCTACTTTAGTACCCTTAAACTTTGGGGGTAGTGTCAAGTTAGTATTCGAACTTTAAAACGTGCCACCATAGTACACAATCTTTTAAAAAGTGTCAAGTTAGTCCCTGTCGTTAGTACTCCATCTGTTATATCTCACGTGATGACATGTGATGATTGAAAATTTTCAAAATATCAAAAATACCCTTTAAGACAATTTGAAAACCATTTTACCCTTTTCCACACCGGTTCAAAATTTGGGGAATGTAGAGTTGGTTGAAGCTTAATGATAAAGACTAAGGATCCACCGTTGTGTGCTCGTCCGAGCTACACCAATCGGAGAACAGTTGAACAGCCCACAGTCCATAGTAACTAGGTATGATATCTCTTTTTCGATTATTTCTCGGTTGAGAAAGGCTTTGCTTTGGGCGGTGAAGAGTTCAAAATATGAGAGTTTGAAAGGAAACTCATAGTGGTTTCCCCCATTTTCTTCTGTTATCTAACCAATTTTGATTCTAATGGATGGCAAGGGATGAAAGGAATTGTAGCAGAGAGAGAGAAAGAGAGGCAGGGATAAGCATGGTTTTAAACAACAACCCAAAAACGGAACCATTTTGGCCACCGGTTTCTGGGTCGATGGTTCGACCATCCAGTTCGAACAGATGACCTGTTTTGACAAAATAAAAATAAAAATAAAAAATAAAAAACGACCAAAAACTATTGAACTAGTCAATGGGTTGATGGTTCAACTGTCCGGATCAACAAGTCGTTGATTAATTCAATGGTTTTTTCCAAGGACTGGGTTTGAGGTAAAACAGAACCAGTTGCTTGAACGGTTTCTAAGCTGAACGGTTTGACCATCCAGATCAACAACAGTTCGAAAACCATGGAGATAAGGCAGAACATGGGGTGGACCAATCAAGAAGGGGGTGGACCAATGAACCTGGGTTCCATAAAGCCCTACCCATTTTAACCATATGTTTCTTTTGAACCTGGGTTTCATATAGGAAAACCACGTCA